TGGGTCAAACGGCAGCTCCATTTCTAATTTTTTGAGGAACCTCCATACTGCTTTCCATAGTGGCTGCACCAGCCTGCATTCCCACCAGCAGTGTCCTAGGGTCCCCTTTCTCCACACCCTCGCCAGCACATGTCGGTTGCTGCTTTGTTGATGGAGCCATTCTGATGGGTGTGAAGTGATATCTCATTGTGGTTTTAATTTGCATCTCTCTGATGATTAGCGACATCGAGCATTTTCTCATGTGTCTCTCCGCCATCCNCATCTCTCTGATGATTAGCGACATCGAGCATTTTCTCATGTGTCTCTCCACCATCCATATGTCCTCTCTGGAGAAGTGTCTATTTAAATCCTTTGCCCATTTCTTAATTGGGTTGTTTGTCTTCCTCTTGCTGAATACTATGAGTTCCTTTTACACTTTGGAAATTAGCCCCTTATCAGATNNNGTGTCCATAAATGTAATTTAAATTCATAGGTGAGAAACTAGGAAACTGATATGAACAAAACTGAAATCATAAATCTCATCAAATCCTTTCTTCCATTTACTTTAGAAAATTAAAAAGTGATTCTATGCAATAGTCTCTAGTAAAGAAAAAATAGATTTAAGAGGTAATCAACAGAGTGGCTTTTTGATAACCACATTGCTTAGAAAAATAGAGAAGTGTTTCCACCTCTGGTTATATTGGCTTTGAAATGTGGTCATAGTTTCCACAGTTAATATCCCTGGTCTCTATTAACTATCCTTAAATGATCTGATAATTACTTATAAAGTTAGAAAAAAAATACACTCATCAAGGATTTGGACTTGGGTTTTCATCTTTCAAAGTATAAAGAAGGAAACAGCTCTGTGGGATGACATGCTTGGTTGTGGAGACTGCTTCCAACCAGGCACGGAAGGCAGCCCCTCTCCCTGGGACTGAGCAGAGTAAGATGAAATACAGAGCAAGTGTGATGCTTTTGAACATATTTTAGAACTTTAATTTTCTGCATTAATCTACATAAGGAATTGATTTGCAAAGCAGCACAGGGGAACATGGTTGCATTTGATCTTAAAAGGGGCCAAATTTGGGGGCGATTTATACTCCTGGCAATCTACTGCTTTAAAATGTTGGCAGTAACTCAAGGAGAGAAATGAAAAGTGGGCCTTGGGGCAAATTTAATTTGGAAAAGGTCTGATGTATTTCAGAGGATTCTGAAGGCAACATCAAAAAGATACTTTTAAAAGGCATTGAGGGGCTGAATTGCCCAGGTGGACGAATAGGTACAGTAGCAAGGCACAAGTAGATCTCCTCCATCAAGTACACCTTCCTGTCCTCTAATGCTCTCCCAACTTGCCCACGCTTGTGATAGGCACTCCTTTTGCATGTCTAGCAGAAACAAAACATAATGTAGCTTGTCATTTATGTCTTTCTTTATTTCTTAGGTCTCGTAAGGCTCTTGTTTGCTGAGGACCAAGATATTATAGCATTATTCTCATTTTCCCAAGGAGGAATGTTGTCTTTACCATATCAAATGTATACCCCAAGCTATGGTTCTATTCTTTTTTGTGCATATGTAATAGCTTTGCACGAAGTCCTAATCAACACTAAATCATAATGCAATTGTTGGAGACTTCTTAAACAGCAGCTAAACTCAAACGCACATTTCCAACACTACAAACAACTCGATAGAAGAAGCCATAAGCAATTTTACATGTGAAGATTTATAGACAAAAACAGTGAGTTTTGAACATCACTTGCCTGATAAAGACTGTAAAATTATTTTGATTATAATATGAATTCCAGTGAGAGATGTTAAAATTAAAAACAATAAATGTATACTGACTATAAAATACAGTATTTGTGGATTTAGGGAAAAAGAGCTAATGTTAAGGACGGTGAGTTTTCTGCATGAATCTCTTAGGATTACAGAGGGCCATACTGCCATATGTTACCTCCTTGGAGACTTGACTATCAAGAAATAATTGCTCTGATTCTAAAACATTTGCAAATGCAAACAATATATGTACGAGGTCTACTAATCTTTTATTACAAACAAAAATATTAAAATCAAGTAAGAAAAACTGTTTATTAAAATAGTTTAATAATGTGGCATATTTTCTCTAAATTAAGTAATTAAGCATAAAGCACCAGAGCTATATAAACTATTCTTAATGTAGTATAAGACCATTCTTATATTTTCCATACTTTTATTTAAATCTTAAAATTCTTTCAATTCTGTGTATAACTCAATTAAGTCAGCAAATTAACTTGAAATTGAAGACGAATTGAAACAAAATCTATCCAAAAAGGTCAGGTAGTAGAGTCAGGAGAAGGTCATTTCCTCAAGAATTCCCATAGTTATTTATTGCCCTTTGTTGGAAAGGACTGTGTCAAGATCACATTAATTAGCAGTTCAAACAGAGAGCAGGCAAGGGGAGAGATAGCTCAGAGAGAAGTTGTGAAAAGCAGGTCTTTTTTCAGTGTAACCCCTGAAGGATAAATCATTTTTTATTACAAAAGATTAAACCTTAAATCCATAAATACTGTTGTGCTCTGCCTAGCAGTTCATAATATCATACCACACCACATATTTTAGACCTCACAAATGTACATCAACTACGGCTGAAATTTAGTGATCATATCTTAATTCAACCCCACCGATATTTTTGTAGAAGCAGGCAAAAATCACTCAGTAGGAGAGAATCACCACTTTTGAAATAAAATATGGTTTTCAAAAGACTTATTTTAACTTTATTGTTATAGTATAAAAGTAAACAAAAACAAATGTAGGTCAATTTAACAGACAATTCTGTTTCTCAAAACTCTTTCTGCAAAGAACTCTACAAGTTCTCTCATGTGTGATAATTAGACGTATTAAATGCATATTCTTTTAAAAAACAAAGTGGTTTGGCATTCTATTCATCAATTAAAAATGGTAACTTTTCTAAAACATAAGCTATGATATATAAGACTATTAATTATTAGGACCTATCATTTTTCACACTCTTCCATATTTTACATGAATCGTACTACAAATACGTGAGCATTATTAGTCAAGTTAAAAATGCAATGGCTCACAAAAACTGAGGAATCTAAAATAACAGCAGTCTCTCTAAGGATCTCCATCTGCTTCAAAACTATGGCTTTGAGCAACTCATAATCTCCTCGTCTGTAAAAAGAAAGTTTTATCTATTCTGTGATTTCCAAGGTACAATAATTTGCTTGTGAGACAGGGTTTATTTCAATACGAACAGGCAGTTCGTTTTGTTTGATCACTCTCCTATAAATTATAAATTTAAAACTCACAAAAATTAGATGCCACCAAATACTGCTTATAGTCAATAATATTTTGATAAGTTTACATGGTAACAGATGACTTCTAGAATTAGTGGGATGATCACATTGTAAGGTATAAAAATACTGACTCACTATGTTGTACACTTGAAACTAATATAACCAATATAAGAATGTATACCAACTATTCTTAAATAAAAATATACATTGAAAGATACTCATTACTGTGACTAAAATAAACTACTGCAATATTCAGCATAAAATCACACATACTATCACTTGAAGAGCCACCTAAACTTGAAATGCCTTCCACTACCTGACAACTTAATTTGGTCAAAGATATAAAGTTGCATTTTCTTAGGAAGCAGATATCGTTTGTCACTAACTTTTCATGTCCAGAAAATAGCCAAGTGTTATTCTGAGAAACATCATCAAGTTATATAATTTTTAAACATATGATTTAAAGAAAAATCCTTGCACTCTAGACTATAATGGGGTAATCATGTTATTTAGTAAAAAAAATCTTTCTTAATATCCCATATTTCTACCATATTTCATTACTATGTAAAAATGTTCATGTACTTTTATATGACTTCCCAATTTAATATTCATAAAAAATTAATCGTAAATTAAATATACTATAATTTAATGTGACATTATATCTATTGAATGCCCCTTTCTTGCAATAGAGTAAGTCTAGCTAAAAGGAAATAAATAAATAAATACACAAAAACCAAAAACTTGCATGCCCAAAAACGTCATTTGAAAGCTAAATTTAAATTTCATGGTTTGGCAGGCTGTAACAGTTTTATCTTGGTTTGAAATAATTATAAATACAGCATTTCACTTAATTACATTTACTAAAATTTAACACATTAGAAGACAATTGGTAAATACAGCATTCATTTCTATAATCTTTATTATTAGGATAATTACATGGTCCTTGCTTTAGATTCACTCTTCGGAAAGTAAATTACCAGCTTGAATATTTGAGTTTCCATTTTTAGCTTACTTAATACATTAAAAAAAATAAAAACATATCTCTACTCATTGGAATTTAGGAATATAACTGATGAAATCATGCCATTGAATATGTTTTATAAACCTGATTCTGGTGATACAAACTGCATAGGATAAAATGTCTACTAAAAAAGTACTTTGAAAAGAATAATATCATAATTATTTTTATGTAGTCTCCTGACTACAGAAGACTGCTGGTTATAATCCAAGAGTCTAATAAAGACTATATTGCTTCCCTGGATATAATAATTCCCTACTGATTGGCTAATGTTTAGTATCATTCTAAATTCTACTCCTTTTTATAATAAGAATATACATTTTAACATGAACCAAAACATAATCAAGTGAGTGTACGTATTTAAACAAATATTGAACCATTTACATATTAAATAAATGATTAAAATATCTAATTATGCTTCCCACATTCACAGAACAAAATGCTATAGCCTTCAGTTGAAAATTACTCTCATCACTGTACTTTAAAAATTTTTCCTTTCTCTCTGTTAGTATCATATATTTGTGTATATTAAATAATAAAACTTTAAATACTTATTTTATAGAAGTCAATGAATAAAATATTAAGTTTTGTTTTTATCATTTTTTTTTCTGAATTCTATGAGAACAAAGCATGGAATGCGGTACCTTTGGATACTGTTTCACAGGAATCAATACCCTTTCTGAGAGCTTTATGTTTTTGTTGCTGATGACATCAAGGTATTTCTTTTCTTCATCTTCCTTTTTTCCATCAGAACCTTGAAATTTTTCAATTTCTGAAAAAAGTTTCACAAGAAAAAAACCAATAAGTGAAATGGGAATTCATCATAAATATGCTCATTGTTATTACTCCCCTTATTAAGATTGTGAAGAATCTCAATAAAAGGACTGAAACAGCACCTTGTTAACAGCTGCCTGAATGGTGCCACTGATGTAAGATGACCTCTGTGAATTAAAACTAAACAGGGGTAACTGAGGATGTGACTGTCTTCTGTGAAACAAATGATGCATTGAATTAATAACTTTCCTAGGAGTAATTAATACAATGAAATCTACGTTAAGGTTATATGTTTTATTTTTACTCAGAATTATTTCCAAGAAAAAAATAACTGAAAATAGTATTCATCTATTATCTAAGATAGTGTAGTAAAGATAAATAGCGGGCTATTTTATATTCTAACCAAACTTAAAGGCAATTAAAAAGGCGGTCACAGAAAAGTCACATAAAGGATTAAACACGTAAATGCTATCATTCACATCCATCAATGTGAAATTGTCTGCTCATATAAGAGGAATTACTAATTTTTCCCTATGAGAATGTTCTCAAAATGGATATTTTTGAGCTAATGTATACTATTTATACATTGAATCTATTTAAAATTAATTTATTCTACAAAGACTTTTAAATCCCTACTATGGGTAACACAGATAGAACAGTAAACAAGAAAATGTGCCTGTTTTTATGGAATCTATGTTCTGATAAGAAAAATGAACAATTAGAAAATGAATATATGTACACATGCATATTTATGTGTGGAGGTAAAGATAAATACAAAAAGCTATTAAAAATATAAAGGAAAGTCGAGTAATCTTACAGCTGTTACTTTAGATTTATAGGGTGACGTGAGCAGAACCCTGATTAATGAGAAAGATCAAATCCTGAGAGATTCAGGCATCAAGTTGCACAGTCTGCAGGAGAAACAGCTTGACTTACTCTAGGGTTTGATAGGCGGTTAACAGGACAGGTCATGTAAGAACTTGTAGGCAAGTGGCATTTTCTGATTTTTATTGTGAAAGTAACAGGAAGCCACTGGGTGGTTTTGGCGGGGAAAGGAGCAAGAAATGTTTGATTTTTACTTGTAAAAATAACACCAGATGTAATATGCAAAACCAGTCACAGCAGAGAGCAAGCAACCAAGAAAGCCAACATGTATTTGTCTAGCTGAGAAATGATGCTGACTGGGTCTTAAAAGGTGGAAATGGAATGGTGAGGCTAGAGTCACTTCATGGAATTCACTCTGTAAAATCAATGTTTTGAATGAACCTTGGAAAATTCATTTCTCTCATTTCTTTTATGCTTATTGGACAGTTATTATTAGCATAAAATCACCTATAAACATTTCTCTTTGCTTTCAGTCAATTGTACTATTTCAAAGCACTTCCTAAATTAAGATATGAATGTGCCAGGTGTTTTTTTTTAGTTTTCTTAGAGATGAAACAACATCCTGTTTCTGTTATTTTGGAGCCAAATAAGTGATGGTAGTTTTTTAGATAGAGAAATTATTAATTCAATATTAAGTTATATTGCATGTTTAACAATTCTTTTTAAAGCGCTGGCTACTTCTGTAGGTAGGAGAAATACTACATTTCATCTAGCAGCTCTGTTCTTTGTCACTTTATTTTGAAGTAGCATCTTTCCCAAAATGATTTCACATAGCATACGTAAAAATCCCTGTAACGTTCCTGGTAGTAATCTTACAGCATATTATTTATTTGGTCCCAGTGGAATTAAAAAAATTTTTTTTGAAGTAAGATTACATTGCTTACCAGATAATGCCTGAAAGAACTGTCACACTGCATAGTTTGTATAAAGTCATTTATAATGATTTCTTTTTCACATATATGCTAAAGTCTTCCTAAAGACAACTTACACTGAGCTTTCTGAAAAGCAGTTATTTGTAATATGTCTTTAATTTTTCCTTGTATGATGACATCAGATTATTTTTTTTAACCCTTACCTGAGGATATATTTTTTCCCCACTGATTTTTAGAGAGAGTGGAAGGGAGGAAAGGAGGGGGAGAGAGACACACACATTGACTGGTTGCTTCCCACACACACCCCTACCGCCGGGCTGAGACAAAGCCACAACCCAGGTATGTGCCCCTCACCAGGAACCGACCCGAGACCTTAGGGCCAGGGGCTGATGCTCTAACCACTGCGCTCGCCAGCCAGGGCTTGTATCAGATTCTTACTTTTGTACTTTAGAGTATTAACAAGTCCCTTTGACTGTCTTTTTAAACCAAAAAGCACTTGCTATTTAAGAGTTTCAACCCATTATATAATTATTACATACAGAGCTCTGACACCTGCAAAGAAAGAATATTCATTATGTCCTCTGATGCTGACAATAAACTTTTGATCACTGCCCTTTGGATACATGCACCTACATAATATTGTACTTCCTGGCTTGCTGAGGTGATTGTAACGTAGTGCACACTGAAGAAGCTGTCTCAATTTCCAATCTATTAAATGTTCGGTTTCCCCCTTGTCACTCTGTCATAAAAATAAATTGAATTTGTCTGATATTATTTGCTTTCTACAAAACTACACCCTTAGGCATTTTTTGATGCTTGCAATTTGATCAATTGATGATTAATTCTAATAACTTTTCCATCAAGAAAAAGAGCTGAATGAAATAATATTTTACTGCTTTTTCTCTTCATTCCTACACTTTCCTTTAAAAATTTTTGATATTTCTTTTGCCCTTCTAATACTTTCAGGGAGTTATCTTGTCTTTTCTTACATATATATCTACAAGACTAATAGCCCAGTAACTGAATTTATCAACAACACAGTCACAGAACAGCATATGCCAAACCTGCCTAACTTTAAAACTAAGGAAGACAGTGTATACAATGCCTTCATTTTTTAAATATTTACTCTAAAGTAATTATTTTATCATTTCATAATTAATGTATTCTCATTGTGAAACATTTAGACAACATACGTATCCATAAAAATTAAAAGGTACCCCTTATCATCCAGCAATATCTGCATAGTTTTGTGCAGAGGCACTAAATCATTTTTAATACATGTTTATATAGTTTAAAATTGGCTGCTATATTATTGGGAAAACATATTCAATATACTAAAGGAGAACAAATTTTTTTGAAAAAAATGTTAAACTACATAGATTTTACTAGACAGGCACTTCTACCAGCTAAGCCACAGGGTCCCTCATAGATTTTAGTATTTTCTGTTCCCCTTTCACTGTTGGTCACTTAAAGTATATGTGTATTCAAGAATTTATTTTTGCACTCATTGACTTATTTTTAGTGGTTATCCCTATAATATTAGGATTATGTGGAGATTACAGTCAACCTTTTGTCATGCTGGTCATTCACCTTGCAATTCACCCACTGGTTTAAGTCAGACAGAAGCTACGTAAGGAGGTATTTTTTTGTTATGGTCAAAACACATAATATTACTTACCATCTTAATCATTTTTAAGTATACAGTTCAGTAGTGTTACGTATATTCACATTGTTATGCAACAGAGCTCTAGAACTTTTTGCAGTCCTCCAAAACTGAAACTCCAGACCCATTAAAAACTCATTTGCCCTATCCCTCTCCATCTTTGTTACTTTCTGTTTCTATGATTTTAACCACTTTAGATACTTCATATGAGTGAAATAAAACAGTATTTGTCCTTTTGTAACTGGCTTATTTCACTTAGCTTAATGTCCTCGAGGGTCATTCATGTTGTAGCATGTAGTAGAATTTCCTCCATCATAAAATATGTTTAATGTTTCACTGTATGTATATAGCACATTTGTTTTCTCCATTCTTCTCTCAATGAGCATTTAGGTTGCTTTTACCTCTTACCTATTGTGAATAATGCTTCAGTAGACATGGGTATGCAAATATCTCTTAATATCCTGCTCTAAATTATTTGGATATAAACCCAGAATTGGATTGCTGGATCATATAGTAATTACATTTTTTATTTTTTGAGAAATCTCCAAACTGTTTTCCAAATGACTGTACATTTTTGGTCAGAACATGTGAATATTACATGAAAAGGGTTTATATTCTCTGTTGTTGGGCAAAACGTTAGATATAAATCAATGAAATCTTTTTTACCCATACTGGATCCATCTTGAAAGGTGTGTGAGAATTTCTTTAGAATATGTATATGAAAGAAGAATTTTTGTTCATAAATTATGGATATACTTAATTTTACAAAATTCTGCTATTTTGTTCTACAAAATATACCAGGCACATTCCACAAACAGAGAAGTATTTCTATGACTTCCATTTTTCTCCAGTGGCTTAATTTTTGAACTTCACCTAATTCTCTTACAGAAACAAGAAAGAGCACCTAGGATATAAACGAAAAAACCCCACCTGAATTCTGAAAACATCAGCAGAATCTGAGTATTCTACAAGAACCCTATAATATTAGTGGGTTTCTCAAAACACTGAAAATAGTAGGAACTCTACTGAGTAATGTGTGGAAAAAGTGATTATGGGGAGATCATTGATGAATAAAAAAGCAAAATTCCAAAGAAGCTATACCAATGGTCAACAAAGAGTATGGAAAGATGCTCAAGATGACTAATCATAAGAGAAATTTGAATTTCAAGCACTTTTTTATTCAAAAGGAGAAATTACATCTAACATAAAATTCTAAACATGGTCTTTAAAAAACTGAGACAAGACTGCACAACCTCTAATTTACGAGTGATTTTTGAAGGAGACAATGGAGACCATATAATGTATGAGGGAAAAGCTGAAGATACATGTGTAACACAAGCATTCCAGGATCTTCGGAAACAAAAGAAAACAACAAATATTTCCTTCTTTAAAAGTAAAGTCCCTGAAGAGGAAAAACTGTTTCACTCCTAACGGAGCATGAAACAAGGATACTACCCTAGCTGAACAGACTATTCTGACAGAAACCTCCCAAAAGCACAGGCCAAACTTTCTCATTTAAACATTAACCAGAGTAACCAATTAAGTTAAACCCCATACAAGTAAACTATACAAAAACAA